AAAAAATAATTATTTTTAATAAATATGAATAAATTTAGTCATTAAAAGTGAATAAATGAATAATTGAGATTTTATATAAGTATAATGTGTAAAATTGTTATATAAATGAATCTCACCTTTTTTTATATAAATTAATTATATATATTTAACTTGTATATTTAAAGTAAAAAAAAAAAGCAAAAAATGATTAAAGGGGTTTCTAGAAGCATTTAACCAATTAATTTAAAAAAATTTTATATTTTACAATTTAAACTGTAAAACAAATATCATCATATGATAGGAGCGACATAACATCAAGGGGCCCTATTACCTATCCGAAAGTCATTATTTTACCATTTAAAACAATCAAAACTATAAAACAATTTTTCAAAATTAGAAACACCTGATACGTACACTCGTTCCTTTAGTTAGAGAAATTCAAACTTAAAACCATTTTAAAGTCTTGTTATGCCCTTAATCACTCGACATATGACAGGTGTTTATTGAGATATAATAATATAGTTTTTGGATTCCTGCCAAGAGTGGTGATATTTGGTTCAGGCATTACAAACAAAAGAAGGTGGATGCATCATGCGTGATGTTATGGGCGTCATGTTCCATTTCTAATCAAAAAAGGACGCTAAAATATCTAATAATTTTTTTGAAAAAAAAGGAAAGCCACCAACATTTTCTTCCTCTAGTCTTATTCTTTCTTTTTCTATATTTCCATTCATCATCCCAATAATTCTTCTTCTTTTTTCTTTTTTAAGTTTATATGTCACCTTATACTCACAATTATTATTAGATTATTCACATTTATATTTCAACTTAATTTGTTTTCCTACTATATATGATATTGGGTACAATGCATGTGATATTTTATTGTGTTTGTTTGTTTTCACTAAAAGAAAATAATTGTTATATTTTTCGATTTAACATATTTATCAATACCCACAAATTTAGTTATTAAATTTAATAGTAAAAAATTTTCTTATCTTGAATTCATATATAAAAATAATAATTTTTTAAATAAATATATCATAAAATATATTAAACAAAAAGTACATTAATTATTGTCCTTTACTAAAACATCAAGAGATAAATGGAGAAAGAAGCAACAAGGCGTAATATCAAAGTTTAGGCAGACAAATATTACTGTTAGAAAAAGAATCCCATACCCCCTTTTGACATTGACATCATATTACCCAATGATTTAAATCCTTATCTTACCCTTTCACTTATGTGAATATCGTTATTTTGTTTTCTACAAAGAACAGTACCAATTATCTTTTCACCTTTTACTAAATTATATCTTGATTTTTTCTTTAAAAATTTTTCCAAAATGATTTCTTTTAAAATAAAAATTGAGGGTAAAAAGAAAATTATATATTCTAATCCAAAACCAAAACATGCCATTCATTCAAGTAGAAATTTACATTAATTGTGCTTATAAATCACCTATTCATAAGAAACTATTAATAGTAAATCAACTAACGACATATCAAATTAACCATCTAAAATGCATGATTTAAATCAATTAGAAGTTAGAAATAGACAATCTTCAATAGCAATTCACAATCATTAATACATAACAGGGCTACACTCATTGGATGCTCCAACCACTTTCGGCACAAAGTCCATTGTCCTTTGTCCATGCACTAAAACCCTTCATCCAAGCTACACATTTTCATTATTTTATCATATATTTCATGGAAGCCACGAGCACTCCTGCTTTGTATAATGCACCAAAGCTACGATACATTTAAAAAGTGTGCAAAGTGAAATGACTTTTTTTTCCCTTCCTCATGAAATGGTCCTTTTTTATTGATGAGTTGTGCAATTGTAGTACTACCTTATCAATTTCTACCATCAAATCAATTTCCAAACACAAATATCGTGACAAGAGAAGCATCCAATTCATGTAAATATAATCATATGAGGTTCTAAAGTTACACCACACATGATGTAGCCTAAACTCTTTCATTTTATAGGGAAAGGAAAAAGACAAGACAAAACTTGCCATTCTTATGCACGTGCATTAGAGTTGGTCACGAGTTAGTTTCGGCCTAGAATTCGTGGGCCTTTTATTCTCAGGACCAGGGCACATAATCGGCCTGCATATATTGTGAGCCACTATGATCTTAGTTCTGGTTCGGTTCAAGTTCAACTGCTTTTTTAGTTTTTTATTTACAATATAAATATAGAAAAAAAATGTTTATTAACCAAATTTTTGAAAAATTAATTAAAAAACACATAAAATTATATAGTTTTCATAAACTCTAAATAAAAAAAAGACTAAAATAACATATTTTTAACAAAAAATTTTATTTTTAAAATATGAATAAGACTATTTTAACTTTTTTAACATAATTTTTTTTATGTAAATGATATGGTTTTAAAATGTTTTTTTATTTAATTTTTAAAAGCTTAACTAATAAATATTAATTAATCCCCTTATATATAACGACATTTAAAAACTCTTATGAGTGATTCAACGGTTAACGATTAAGAACTTGAAACTTCAAGTTAAAAATTTCAAGTTCGAGTCTTGAGTTAGATGGGGAGGGATTTGAAAATAGAAAAAAGTTATTCTCTCCTATATAACCCATAATCAAATATATAAAAAAATTGACACTTAAAATTAAATTAGAAAAGAATTTTGGTCGGTTTGGCCCTCTACTTATGCATATTATTGCTTATGAATGTTAACGATTTCAAGTTAAACTCCAAACCAAGATCATTGATCAGTCTTACTAATTTGACCAGATTGGTCACCAACTAAATTGGCCTAATTTGGCCACATGTCGGTCTGGTCCTCTACTTATGCACATGACAATCTCGAGCCAAATCCCAAACCAAGATCATTGATCGGTCTTAATTTCTAATGTGACCAGATTTCTCACCAAATAAACCGGCCTAATGGCCACATATGGCACGCATATTTAGACTTTCATTTAGAACATATAATTGAGAAAAATAAATAAATAAAAAAAGAAGACGAAAAATTCATTGGGCAAACTCATCTCCTAGGGTGGATTCAGAGAAGCATCCAATGACATGGTAGATTTGTCGGCCAAAAAGAAAAGGAGGGTCCCTTTTCCATCTCTCATGCACTGCTCTTCTTTCCCGGCCGACACAACAGTTCCAAAATCTTAGTCCATGAAAGAGGCTCTTACATGGGGGTGAAAACACAGTTCCAAAATCTTAATTAGTCCACGAAAGAGCCTCTTTCATGGGGTGGTGGTTTTCAGCTTAAAAAATTGTTAAGGTGATTAATAATTTAATTTAAATAATATTTTAAAATATTAATTTATTAATTAATATTTTTAATATTTTTTCTGTAGGAATATCCATTTTACTCTTACATATCGCACTAAAATTCAGACAAAAACACCAACATAATATTAATGTAAGCGTATTTATTCAGGCTAAAAAAATGGAAAATTTTTCATAATTTGGATTTTTAGTAATGGTTGCAGATGGAAGCTGAATCCTGAATGAAGACAAGAAATATTAAATGGTCCTGTGGGCAAAGTAAACATTTATGGTGCCCACGGAATGGAGTGATAAGAGATCATTAGCTTCGACTGTTTATGTTCTACTAACAACAGAAACAGGGCAACCCCATTCTAGAAAAGCACAAGGAAATCATTTATGGAAGAGCCAACCATCAGTACTTTTCTTTCCTTTTTCTTTGCTCTGATTATGGAGTTCTGAGTACAACCGGATCCAACAGTTGGAATCATTTTGGCTTTTTCAGGATGAGTACAGTTGGAGTATATTTTATTCTACCCAAAAAAATAAAAAGGATGGTTCAGGTGCAATCATATAATTGCTGATGCATCGGATGGCATAGAACTTCGCAATTAAGTGTATTTGGGTAAGAGTAGTACTGGGAAGTTATTGTCTTGTACCCCTTTTTGTTGATAACAAAATAGACAGTAAATTTCAGAAGAAAATACCTCTTACCGCTGTATCCATCAATGGGTTAATTTGGTTGCTTTTAACAAGTTTGAATTGAATTCAGCATCAATCAATTTGAGGCTGACAAGTAGTTGTTTTCTGTAAGTCCAATGACAACATCACATGCGGTAATGAAATTACTGAGGGGAGAAAGGACTTTCTAGAAAGCAATTTTACAAGTGCATTGAGTAGGTTGCCAATTGCTAGTACTTTTCTGCAACAGTTTCTACAATTGACATCAGTAGATGAAAGAATCAAATGTATATGAAACTCAAGCAGGGTTGCTATCTATTTGAAGAAATTTCACACTATGACTAAACTGATGATAACTGCATGTTTGTAATCAAATCAACACAAGGACCCATATGGGACACCTCCATGACCCACTCAATTAAAGAAGTTTCAGAAGTTTCAAAAACTTTGATTTCAGAAAATTGACTATATCAGAATGTGGGTCTCATTCTTACTCCAAAGAAAGGAAATGAAATGGTGAAAAGAACATTTGAGTTAATAATGAGATGAATAATGTAAAGGCTGTGACAGATATGCATGTAGCTTTCAATGTAAAATAAAGACCAAAATGAGAAGTTCTTGTGCAGAAACAGAGAAAAGAAAAGGGACATTTAAGAGATAGTTACCAAACTGTTCACCCTTCTGCATTTCATCTCCTTTTCTCAGCTTTTCAGCCATGCAAAACCACAAGCATTCAGGTTTCTCATTATGAAGGGGATAAGAAAGTAGTTATGGGAAACAGGGGGAAATCTTTGCACATATTGTTCTGTTCAATTGATTTCTGCTTGTTTCCAAGGTAAGTATTACACCTACTTTTATCCATATTTAACAAGGGAATATCACTGGTTTTGAATTTATTATTATTATTTTTTTGGTGCTTAGTGATTGAGTCTAATTTAACCTTGCAACTTCCTCAAAAGGCT